TGTGAATCATATTTTTAATATGTCAAAGCCTGTAACAGCCCGTTGATCACTCAGCGCTTAAACTGCAATAGAGTCACTGTAGTATTTAATACTTTTTTTTATCAAAAGATCACAGTTCTTCACAAGCCACTGCCATGAGCTACATGTTGCGTGGAAACAGTAGACTGATAGAACGGGTAGTGCAACTTTGCACTTGTAATGCACTGTTCATTTGAAAATGTTAAAACACTTTGCAAATATTCATTATGTCTAACAAGATCTCCAAGAGGTATATATTCCCATTTCCATTTTATAGATGGGGAAACACGTAACAGCAGCAACCTTTTGGACCAAATACCAATTCCAACCCATTTCCTTGTGAAAAGTTCAACAGCACCCTCTTTTTGGCTGCCAAACAGTGCACAGATAAGCACTGGCCTCTTCAGCACCCTCTTTTTGGCTGCCAAACAGAGCACAGATAAGCACTGGTCTCTTTCCAAAATTAAAAAAAAGGGGGGGGGATTGGAAAGCAGGGCATTTGATGTACCATCATCTCGTTTTTTGTGTTTCCAGGACTTTGAAGCCCATGGAAACAGAAGTCACATTGACAACTACCCCTTAGTCATGACTCACCCATAAGTTTTGCACTTTTTGCTGATATAGCTTACTCCAGTTGGGAGAATGAAGTAACCTATACTGGCTATAATGCTCTTTAAAACATTCTTAAAACTGTATTGACTCCAGGACTCTTGCTAGTATAGTAATAACTGTAAAATCCCCAAACCAAAATGCACCCTAAAAAAATAGTTATGTCAAAAGTATAGGCATAGACCAGGGGTGGAGAACCTGTTTTGGGTCAAGGGCACCCACAGAAAAATCAGTCAGGTGCCACACACAAGTAAGAAGGGGGGAAAAAGCCACACCTTCTCTCATGTGGCCCTTTACTGACATGAAGAAAGACACTCCCCATATTCCTCTTGCCTATGGAGGCCCATCTTAGCAGATTTTGGGTGCTCCAACCCTGCGATGGGGCAGCAGGAGACTGGAGCTCCAGTGTGGGCTCCCCAACGCTGGGGGAACCATGAGCCTCAGGGGCCAGATCCAGGCAAGTCGGGGGCTGCATCTGGCCCCTGGGCCTGAGGTTCCCCACCCCTGACATACTGTCACTATTCTTACTGACAGCTGCAGGATGAAATGACTTTAACTACTTGTTGGACAATCGTTACAATCTAAAACACAGAGAATTATTCTCTTTTTAAATATACAGTTGAATCTCGTTGATCTGCACACTTTCAAATTCACATAAAAGTTAATATTCTCTCCCCCAGCATCCCAGAAAAAAAATATGATAGCAAGGGCTCTAGAGGTGATCCTGGCAATTATAGACCACTAAGTCTAATGTCAGTACTGGGCAAATTAATTGAAACTGTAGTAAAGAATAAAATTGTCAGACACATGGATGAATATAATTTGTTGGAGGAAAGCCAACATGGTTCCTGTAAAGGGAAATCATGCCTTGCTAATCTTCTAGAGTTGTTGGAGGGGGTCAACAAACATGAGGACAAGGAAGATCCAGTGGATATAGTGTACCTAGATTTCCAGAAAGCATTTGATAGGCCCCTCATGAAAGGCTCTTAAATAAAGTAAGTTGTCATGGGATAAGAGGGAAAGTCCTTTTGTGGATTGATAACTGGTTAAAAGACAGGAAACAAAGGGTAGGAATAAATGCTAAGTTTTCCGAGTAGAGATATATAACTAGTGGGGTCCCCCAAGGGTCTATAACTAGTGGGGTCCCCCAAGAACCCATCCTATTCAGCTTACTTATAAATGATCTAGAGAAAGGGGTAAATAGTGAGGTGGCAAAATTTGCAGATGATACCAAACTGCTCAAGATAGTTAAGACCAAAGCAGATTTTGAAGAGCTTCAAAAAGATCTCACAAAACTAAGTTACTGGACAAGAAAATGACAAATGAAATTTAATGTTGATAAATGTAAAGTAATGCACATTGGAAAAAATAATTCCATCTACATATACAATATGATGGGGACTAATTTGGCTACAACTACTCGAGAGAGATCTTGAAGCCATTGTGGATAGTTCTCTGAAAACATCCACTCAGGGTAGGGCTACACTGTGGGGTGGGGGTGGGGTTTTGGAAGAAGGTATGCAAATTGCACTTGCATTTGCATATCTTCTTCCAATTCTTTTTCTGGATTAGGCTTTTCCGATATTTGGCCCGTCTACACGGGGTCAAATGTTGGAAAAAAGAAACCTCTTTTGGAAGCCCCCGTAAACCTCGTTTTACAAGGAATAAGGGGGCTTCCGAAAGAGGAGGTTTTTCCAACATTTGGCCCCATGTAGACAGGCCAAATATTGGAAAAGCCTCTTCCAGAAAAAGAATCGGAAGAAGATATGCAAATGTGAGCACAATTTGCATACCTTCTTCTGAAGCTTCCCCTCCCCAAAACAGTGTAGCCCTATCTTTCGTGCAGTGGCAGTCAAAAAAGCAAATAGAATGTTCTGAGTCCTTAAAAAAGGGATAGAGAATAAGACAGAAAATATCTTATTGTCTGTATATAAAACCATGGTACGCCCACATCTTGAATACTGCATACAGATGTGGTCGCCTCATCTCCAAAAAGATATATTGGCATTGGAAAAGGTTCCAAAAAGGGCAATAAAAAAATTATTAGGGGTCCCATATGAATAGAGATTAAAAAGACTTGGACTTTTCAGCTTAGAAAAGAGGAGAGTAAGGGGGGGATATGATAGAGGTCTATAAAATCATGACTGGTATGGAAAAAGTGAATAAGGAAAAATTATTTACTTATTCCCACAATATAAGAACTAGAGGGTCACCAAATGAAATTAATAGGCAGCAGGTTTAAAACAAGCAAAAGGAAGTTTTTCTTCACTCAGCGCACAGTCAATCTGTGGAACTCCTTGCCAGAGGATGTGGTGAAGGCTAGAACTCTAGCAGGGTTCAAAAAAGAGCTAAATAGATTCGTGGAGGTTAGGTCCATCAGTGGCTATTAGCTAGGATGCGTAGGAATGGTATCCCTAGCCTCTTTTTCTCTGGAGGTGGGTGACAGGGGAGGGATCGTGTGAGAATTGCCTGTTGTTATCCCTCCCTCTGGGGCATCTGATATTGGCCACTATCAGCAGACAGGATACTGGGCTAGATGGACCTTTGGTCTTACCCAATATGGCCATTCTTATGTTCTTGGGTCTTGTAGTGAATTCATTATTTTAAAAATGAATGGCCAGTAGATTTACTCATGTTTACCTATAAACAATAGGAATTCATAATTGGCAAGTTCAATGATCAAAGTGCATTTTGTGATTCTTAAATGTTTTTTATTGTGTGCGTACTTGCTGGATGATTTGTTAAGTGCAGTCATTGGCATTTGTTCAGTAATGTGAATTTGTGGGGTTCTCTCACCTACATGTGAGTTTTCTCTCCCTGCTTTTTGATAGAGTTCCTCTGTGACAGCTGAATTCACAGCTAGCGATATTCAGTGGTTTTGTTTTGGTGCGGTCTCTTTTCAGAAATTGGTTTCCAATACATTTCCATTTTCCTGATTGTCTCATGGAGTAGTTTGGCAGACTGTACATAGAAATGCTATTTAAAATATACAGTAGTATAAAGAGAGCTACTCTTACAGTCACAAAAATGGAATGAGAGCTCTGCCCTGAATGTCTGTTCTAGGATGCTTGCTTGATTCATCCCTGCTAGTGCAGCTAAACCATGCCTGGTGGAACCAGCAGGGGGACACTGTGCCTCAGGCAGTGTTTGCATTGCTGCTTATTCAGAAGTTCTGCCAGGCAGAGGGCAGCTGTACATTGAAGTTCAGACTACATGCAAAACTCCCTGAATATAGTTGCTTGAGACTCTATTGAATCAGCTGTCCTCATTCTCCCTGCTGCAGCAAGATTTACCCAATTTTGGGGAAGATGCTTGTTCACTGCAGGCATCTTAGTTATGTCACAACACCTGTCCTGGTAGATATACCATCCCCTATGTGTCCTTGAGCTACAGATCATTCTATAGCTCAATCTAGCCCCTGATTTTCAAAGATTTTTATTTTAAAACAGATGGTTACAGAATTGGTGGGTGTGTTCTGTAATGTAACGTGTATGTCTTTACAGTAATTGGCTTGTAAAACTGATTGATAGAAATTTACTGTACTTTCAAAGAGGCTAAAAGTAAATAACTAGAATTTAATGTCAGAGCATTAGCTGTGTTATTCTGTAAGTGAATAAACTTAAAAACAATGAATGGTCCTGCAGCACCTTCGAGATTAAAAAAAATATATACCATCTACATTTGTGTTAGTCTCGAAGATGCTGCAAGACCATTTGTTGTTTGTTAATAGAAGTAGATAGGGTTGCCAGGTGTCCAGTTTTGAACCAGACAGTCCAGTATTTGAGCTTTCTGTTCAGGAAACAAATTGAGAAAATATAAATGTCTGGTATTTTCTAAATAAGATGTAATATAGATAGTGATGTAATGGCAAGTGTGTCCGGTATTTTTGTTGAAACCATCTGGCAACCCTAGAAGTAGAAGTAACCAAAATAAAATCTGTCCTTTCTCACTCAGTTTTAGCTTTGAAATTAAAGAATGCTTCCAGATATCTTGTTACTCTGCCAAAAGTGCTTATTTTACCTGCCCTACTTTGCTTCTTTAGGCCTAAATCCAGAAAAGCACTTACGCACATGAGTAGTTGAAATCCTGGGGCCTCACTGGGCTAACAAAGAGACAGAGAGGTTCACAACATCTTTCATACAATTTCCAGGATTTTTCCCTTTGATTTGGGCTGATTTGCTAAAGGTAGTCACCTTTAGCAAACAGTAGGTGATTGACACAAACTTTCAGATCTGGTTCTTTTCTGTTTCTCTGCTTCAGTAGTTTTGTTGCTGTGTTCTACTGTCCTGTTGACTAGGCCTACCATGAAACTTCTGCAAGAATCAAAGGTTTACTGACATATTTTCTGCTTTCCTTTCCCTTTTTTGTTTCAGAAAATCTTCAGAAGAACTGGACATGGATAAAGTGACAGCAGCTATGGTACTAACCAGTTTATCTACCAGCCCTTTGGTTCGCAGCCCTCCTATACGACCCAATGGTAAACTTACAATATACTACTTTTGGGGAGGGGGTGTAAGAAGCAGTAGCATTATGCTGAGAATCTGAATGTTACTTTTCCATTTTGTGGCAGGAACTTATCAAACCTCAATAAATATAGTATGGATAAAGTACCAATACCTGCCCCGGTAGTAGCAATGCAACTGGAAAAGAAAAACAGCTGCCCAGTTCTCTTTTATACCCACTGTAATTATCTACTAGGGGAGCTAGAGGAGCTGCATGTCTATGTAACTGCCACCAGGCGGATTTGAACCTTGTGCCTCTGAAGCAGAATATAGGAGCCTCTACCTTCTGAACTAAAAGCCAGCTGGTTCCCATCCCATGCTGTAGAGGTCTCTTGATCTTAACTGTTGCTGTGGTCTTGGTACCACTTGCATTGCTCAGTAACCGCACACTAGGTGTGTGGGTTACATCTACACTAAGAAACTATTTTGAAATAATAACTTTGAAATAGCACAGCCACAATAAAAGGCAGTATCAAAATAGCACAGAATTATTTCGAAATAGCACATCCACACTGATTGGAGCCTGCATTTCATTTAAAACCCTCAGAGGCACTCCAGTGAGGGCACCAGGAGAGCAGACACTTCCTGTGGCTGCTTGCTGAGGCTAGCTGAAACACTTGCTGATCGGGGCTCCTCTCTTCAGCCATGTCTCACATGCTACTTCTACACTGCCTTAACCCCTCACGGGACACCAAACTCATGCTGTGTGAGCTGGTGGCCCTTGCAGACACCATAGTACTTACAACATGGCGCTGGAGCTGCTGCAAAACAGTGCCAGGCTCATGGGCCTTGTGCTGCACCTCATGACACAGTTCATCTAAACTGCCCACGTGCTGCTTCAGCATGACATGGTCTTGGCACTCGTGCTGCTGCTAATGACCCTCAATCTCCTGCACACCGTGAAATGCTGCTTCTGGCAGAGGGAGACCAGTTCCGATTGGTGGAACCGCATTGTCATGCAGTGGTGGGTGACCAGCAGTAGCTCCAGGAATTCCACATGCGGAAGGCCACCTTCCTGGAGCTCTGAGCATGGCTTGCCCCTGCCCTGAGGTGACAGGACACCTGACTGAGACTCGTCATCCCCCTCATATCCTCAGCTGTGAAAAATGATGCAAAGAATTCATTTAGTTTCTCCACAATGACCTTATCATCCATGAGTGCTCCATGTGCATCTCAGTTGTTCAGTGGCTCCCTGCCTCTGATGCACTTTAAAAAGTACTATTATTTTTTGAATTTTTGCCTAGCTGTTCTTCAGATTCCTTTTTGGTGTCCCTAATTATATTTTTACACTTCATTTGACAGAGCTTATGCCCCTTTCTACTTTACTCACTGGCTACGTCTACACTGCAGGCTTCTTGTGCAAGAACTGTTTTGCGCAAAAGGTCTTGGACAAGAGCGTGTCCACACTGCCATGTACTTTTGCTCAAGAGATGTGCTTTTGTGCAAGAGCATCTGTGGAAGTGTGGACACTCTCTTGCACAAGAAAGCTGATGGCCATTTTGTGCAAGAAACCCCTGGTGCCCATCCACACTGCCTTCTTGCGCAAGAGCTCTTGCACAAGAGGGCTTATTCCTCATGGGGAGAAGAATAACTCTTGCGCAAGAAGCCCTCTGTTCCGACGCTTTACTGTAAATTTACTGTAAATGGCCGTTCTTGCGCAAAAAGCCTGAAGTATAGACTTAGCCACTAGGATTTAGCTTCCACTTTTTAAATGAAGCCTTTTTATCTCACTGCTTCTTGTATTTGGTTAAGTCATGTTGGTTCTCTTCCTGTGTTTTTTAATTTGGTGTATATATTTTAGTTGAGCTTGTATTGTGGTGTCTTTGAAAAGTTTCCGTGCAGTTTGCAGTGATTTTGCTTTTGGCACTGTATCTTTTAATATTGCTGGAATATACTAATATACAGGGCTCGACAAATAATACAATCTACTCGCCCGTGGCAAGTAGATTGCAACCCGGAAGAGCCGGGTTCAGGCGATCTGCACATGCACAGAACGATCTGCGCAGATCACCGGACAGTGCGGTTGGCGAGCGGGGCTCGCCACAGTTCGGCGAGCCCTGCTAAGATATGTTGCTATCATTGATTATATATGGACATTTTTTTCCGAAATAGGAAGAAACTAGCACTGTAAGGAAGCTTATATTTTACTTAGCAATTTAAAAAAAAAAGGTTGAGAGAGAATATTTAGGTTAGATTTTGCTCTACAGTAAAATTGCTCTGGATTTACCTCTGTATAAATTGCTACTTTCCCTCCACAAATCATTAATATTGAGTATGATTCTCATTTATAGTTAGCCACCTTGTTGCCATTCTTGCAATGTAAAGGGGCCTTAAAGGGAAGTAAATTACAATTATACCTCTTAAAAGCCTTCTTTACACAGCCAAATGTATTAATGTAAATGAAAATCAGGCCCTCTTGGACTGTTTTCTTTTCTTGTCAACCTCATTGTCATTTTTTTATATATTACTTTTTAAAAAATATTCTTGATTAAGTCTCCATGTAACTGAGGTAAAGGGAAACTGTAATACCAGAGAACACAAAGCACTGGCTTAAATGTGTCAGAAAATTACATTTGAAAGCATGTTTCCTTCTTGTGCTAAATTCACAAATTGATACCAGATGTGCTGGTTGGCTTTGTCATGAATTGCAAATCATTTAACAAAATTTAAAAAAGGAGAGAAACACAAGAATTCTGAAGGGTTGTAACCACAAACAAAAAGAGTTTTGTATTATGTTTTATGTTATGCTTCATCAGCAATAGGCTAATTATTTGTAGGATTTTTTCAAAAGGAAAGGTGGAGCACACTAATTTGCCCACATTTTGCACTCTGACCACAATCCCACAAACACTTGACGATGTAAGTAACTTTTCAAATGAGTGGTTATGGGACTACTGAAGTGAGTATAATCATACATGAGCTTAGTGTTTGCAGGACTGGGCCCTGTGTTGTGAGCAGTGAGTATTTTTAATAATGGTTTGTGCTTTAAGTACTGATCTAAAGCCCATGGTAGTCAGTCAGTGGAAAGACTTTATTGACTTCAGTGGGTTAGGCTTTTGGTAAGGACTGAAGGAAATAGTTCTTGAGCCAGTACTACCACTGAGAAAGAGACTTGTGTGTTAAAAAGGTGAAGAGGAGTTTGTGAGTAACAGGAAACTAATGCAGGTATTGTCAGCTATGGAAAAATACCAGTCGCTCATTTAATATACTGAATTATATTATTTACTTGATAACCACACAAGATAATGCTAGGTATGGTATGTGGGGGTGAGGTGGGGAAGGTCTCTTACCCCAGGGCACATACATCTAAATAAACAAAGATGATACCTAAACACACTGGCAGACCACGAGGGTGATGTCAGAGCAGTTTTTTTGTTTGGTGTTGTAACAGTAGGTTTATGACAGCATTTTTATATCTGTGGGTTAGTGTTGTGGGGCTGAGTAGCCTCTTCCCAGGAGGGGAGTCTGACATCACCTAAATCCCTGATTTGTACAGTCAGAAGCTTAAGAGTGATGAATGTTAGCACATTCAGGATTTGTGCCAGTCAAAGGCAAGGGATGTGATTTTTTTTTTTAATTTCATTTATTTGTATTGTTATCTGTGCTGTATTCAGGGAAAGCATTCCAATTCATGATTGTAGCAAAGCATATGCTTAAGTTGCACTGAAATCAGTAAAGTCCTAGGAGTGCTCAAAGTTAAGTGCTTAAATGCTTTCCTGAATCAAGGCATTCATCACCATCTTATCGACTGCTCCAGATATAGTTACGCTTCAGAATAGTCTTTTGTCTCCCTAGTTCAGCTTTTCTTTTCTAGACAGGTGGTGTTTTTACTGAAACAAATTTTAGTAAGATGTCAGTCTGTCTCCACTTTGTAAACAGAGTTTTCTGGCTTTTCTCTGTCTGAGGTAAAGAAAATGATAACTGAACACCATATAAAAGCAAATGTCTCTCCTTAGCTTTAACTCATGACATTTGTTAACTCCTGTTGTTGTTGTTCTTAATTAACAGAATCCCTGAATGGATCTTGGAAAGAAGGAGGATTTGTGCCTTCTAGTACCAGCAGTAGTGGATACTGGAGCTGGAGTGCCCCCAGTGACCAGTCTAATCCATCCACCCCATCTCCGCCTCTGTCTGCTGATAGCTTCAAACCCTTTCGAATGTCCTCTCAGCCAGATGATAGTATTGATGAAGTTGAAACCAGCAGTCTCCTTTTTGATGAGCCCATTCCTAGAAAGAGAAAGGTTAGTTTAGTGTGCAGTCCCACACCACTGCATATCTGGGGTCCTGTTCTTCTGGGGTGGGGAAAGAAGAAAACCAAAAGCATGTGTGGACTCAATTCTGCTGGGTGTTTCAGCTGCTAGACAGACACTCTCCATAGCCCCCTCATGTGTATGTGCAGCTGCTAGCATGTCTAGCCTAACTCCACCCCTCTCGCTAGTGCACATGCTGCCATCGGCACCAAGTGCTTAATGGCAGATGTTGAGGACACATAGCTCCTTCCCAGAGATGCAAGATGCTCCCTGCAGCTCCCTGGACACGTAGGGGATTTCTGCCTTGCTTTGGCAAATTTCTTTGGGACAGGCTGCAACAGGCAGCCTCTCCCTTTTTTCTTTCTGCCATCAGGATTTGAACTGTATTTCTAGTTCACTGAACATGCGGTTAGCCTATCAGGTGCCCTAATAAGATGAAAAACTCTCAGAACAAATATGAGGGGAGGGCATGGAGACTAACTGAATCGAATGGCTTTCTGTATAGTATCATCAGGCCAAAAACATCCCTAGTGACACTTCACTGAACTCACTGGCATTGCACTGGGGGTGCACTCAAAACTAAATAATTGAAACTAAACAAAAAGCCGTAGTTTAGTTTATAACCCCTCCTACTGCCATCATATGCCAGCAAGCAAAGTGCCTTTCTTGACAAAAACAAAGAGATGGCATTAGTCCAAGCTTTCTTCATTCCTAACACAACAGGAAGATTTTACACAGCAAGATGAAAAAAGAGCTCTGTGTGAGAAAGGATAAATACCTTGTTTTCCTCTGTCTTGGTGACTTCTTCTCTGGATCAGACTCAGAGTGATAATTGCCTCACCCCTGGCAGAATTACGTTTACATGATTGTTTAAACATGATCTGATTATCTTTTTGCTACAGGGGTTGCTCATTTGCTGTCCCACGATCACACTTGCTTTTGTTGAGACATCTTTTGAGAGGGTGATGTGAAATACTAGTATGGAGAACACATTTTGCTATGATAAATTAAAAGTTAATTAGCTATTAAAATAATACAAGAGACGACTCTGGGAATGAGAAGGGGACAAAGAGAAAAAGAAATGCTGTGATGCTTTTTACTACTCAGTTAAAGCTGTGCTTATCATTGTTCTGATTGTTCAGTAATGATTAGACAGATGGTTTTACAGCTGCCATTTTTACTGTTTCATTATTCGTATTTTACATATCCACCACAAACATTTTATACTTTATGATCTCTTTTGATTTTTTTCAGTTTTTGGCCTGTACAACAAACATTAAATTTGTATAAGGAATTATTGTATATAGTTCACCTATAACAAATTCACTTTCTCTTCTCTTTTCATTTGTTCCTGGATAATAATTATGTCTGTTTGTGTTTACTTTGGGAGAAAAATACTTATGTTCTAATTATTGGTTTGTTAGTGCTGACAGTCTGTAAAGTATAAATGTGAAAAGCAGAGCCATTGATGAATTCACCAATTAGGAGTAAAGAATGCCTAATCAATTAGTGTCAAATTATTCTGTTTCATGGAGTCATGTCTTAGAAAATGTCATGTATTCCACTATCAACCATCAGTAAAGTTGAATGTTTACATTTTGCCATAAATTCAGCCCATTCCTCATCCAATCACTTAAGGTGCAAAGTACGTAGCTTATTTCAAGTCAATTTCAAAATAGCTTATTTCGAAATTTGGCACTGTCTGAACAGCACTTATTTAAAAATAAATCACTATTCTGAAACATCCCTTACTCCTCATGAAATGAGGTTTACAGGGATGTCGGAATAGTGATCCCATTATAGTGTGAAATAACGGGCACATTCATAAGACACAGAATAGCTATTTTGGAATACTGGAGGTATCCCGAAATAGTGCTGCAGTGTAGATGTAGCTTTAACTAATGTCTGAGTGGGAGGAGTTAAAAGCACTAAAGAATGATGAGGCAAATTGACTACCTTACTATTCTGAACCAACTAATTTGGAGACGGTATCTATAACAGTAAAACAGTTTCTATAGAAATGGACTATTCCATTGCTATTGCTGGGGAAAGTAGTAACTTCTTGAGAATTGGCAGGTTTCATGAGATCCAGTCTTAGGCTGACTGTTGCCTTTTTAATACTTCCCTTGGTATATAGAGGTAGGCATATATATTTAAATCAAAACTGTGGAAAAATCAGTTATTGTTCTACAACATTAGTGGGAAATGGTGCTTTTATTATACTTAGCATCTTTGAAAATAAGGCTATAAATACAAATACTAGTAATGCTGAGTGCCCACCATTCCTATGGAAGTCATTGAAAGATATAGGAATTAAGCTCCTTTGACAATCAGGCCACTTATCCTTCAAGTGTTTAAGACCCAGATTCTGCCTTTTTATCCCATATAGCTTGACTGAAGTCAATGGACTGCAAGGCCTTTAATTAAGGGTAAAATCTGTCCCTTACTTTTCTTGCAAAATGATCCAGGAAGTGTTTATTTTATGGCGGGGGGATTCCAGTTTCTGTTGTAAATTAATGGCAGAGCTATTGCATTCAGCAGAATTACACCAGTAATTACACTAATGTAACTGACAGCAGAATATGGCCCAGTTTAGGATGGGGTAACACATACTGATGGTGTATATCTGTAATTTTTCCTACCTTCCATGTGAACACTTTTTTAAACCTGCTTTTTTATAACTTGTCAGAACTCCATGAAGGTAATGTTCAAATGCCTATGGAAAAACTGTGGAAAGGTACTGAGCACAGCCGCTGGGATTCAGAAACACATCCGAACCATTCATCTTGGGTAAGAGGACAACTGTTCTTTGAAGAGAATTGGTACTGACCCATGTTCAGATTCTTCACTGCTCACTCAAGCAGGGCCAGATGGAAGCATAGGCAACCTAGTCCAGTTTCTGACATCAAGTGATTACATCAAAATTTAATCTGCCATTTAAAAAACACACCCACCCTCTCACCCCAGAAATGTGGTGTGACACATTGCTGCTCCTCCTCTCCCACCCTGAGATGCCACCTCATGGACTGGGGTTTCATTGAGCCTCTTCTCCTCTACCAGTCTGGGTTCCCTCTCCCTGCTTTGCTGAATCAGGCTGTCTGGCTTCTTGCAACATGTGTACACTGGTAGGGACCACAGCCAGCTACAGACACAGACTAAAGTCAACACCGTGCAAGACGACTCACCCGTCACTCACATGCACACCACCCCCTTTTGGGAGACAAATCCAAAATAAAGATCTGCACAGCGCATGCTCATAAAAATTCACTCTCTCCCTCAATGCGGAGAAAGGTTTGCACAGCTTTCCCCACCCCCACGTCTCTGGATATGGACTGCGCAAACTGGGTTATGTTACAAACAAGAAATAATTGTATTAACTACAAAGGTAAATTTTCAGTGATTTTAAGAGAAAACAAACAGATCAAAGTAGATTACCTTGGTGAATAAAAAAAGACTTCAAACTGAACTTAACACACCAGCTAGGTAAGATATAAATAGCATATTCTCACCCTTAGTGATAAGCAGGCTGACAGATTCTTAAGGCACAAGTTGACTTGGCTTTCCCAGGTTTTCATACATAGGCTAAAAATCCTTCCAGCCTGAAACCATCTCTTCCCACAGTTGAATCTTTGTTCATCAGGAGTTTTCCAGGTGTTTGTTGTAGAGAGAGTGAGGTCCCCCCCATGATGTCATTGCCTCCCTTTTATACCTCTCACTTGCTGGAAAGCTTTTATGCTGTGACCTGGCTCAAACAGTCCCCACTGTGTAGTGCTAGCTCTCAGAAGTTTCTATTGCACACAGTTCCTGGGGTAATCCTGTGCATGTCCTCAATAAGCTATTAACATTGTTTGGCCTTTTTTCTGTTGTACCTGAAAGACTGCTTCTGGGTGTTTTCAAACTCACATTTCAGTAACACATACCTAGCCCAAACTTTACATGCAACAATACTACATATAATCCAACAAGATATTGATGTTTAGCAAATCATGACTTTTAAAATGCTATCGCACAGGGGATACTTTGCACAAAATGTATCCTGATTACATTGGTAAATATTGGGAGTTATGTGTCACATGCAGCATAAATGTAACTCACACGATGGTTTCAGAAAGGAGCCATTTTACCTCTTTCTAAATGCCTCACTTCCCATGTTGTGGAAAACTAAGGGCTTGTCTACACTGCCACTTTATAGCGCTGTAACTTGCTGTGCTGTGGGAAAGGTATGAGCAAGAAAGTTCCAGCGCAGTAAAGTGCCAATGGAAGAAGGCTCCCAGTGCTGAAGCCACACTCCTAGTGGTATTTGCTGTTCCCCTCGTAGAGGTGGGTTTACCTAGAGCTCTGGGAGACCTCTCTCCCAGCACCGGTGCCGTGACATTTGCTGCCACTCTTCATTTGCATAATTAATTAGCAGCTATTTTTTCATAAGAGTCTTTTGTGCAAAAAGGAGCTGTTTAGGATGGCTCCTTTTTGTGCAAAACCCCCCTCTTGCGCAAGAGCCGTTCTTCCGGAAAAAAAAATGAGGCAAGTTTGCCTGCCCTGGCCCAGTGTTGCTCCTGGTAACGGTTGGCTGCTGGTACATCTCTCGGGTGAGGCAGGCAGCAGGTCTCAGTGCACGGCTCACACCTGCATGCACTGCCCCCACAGCTCCCATTGGCCGGTTCCTGGAGGAGGAAGGCAGGAGGCTGCAAGGAGGCAGCCAAGGAGCCATGTGCAGGTCTGGAGCCGCAGATTGCCAACCCCTGGCGTGGTAATATGTGTTTTGTCTTTTCTTGATTTAGACGGGTAGGAGAGTCTGACTACAGTGATGGAGAGGAAGATTTTTACTACACAGAGATCAGACTGAACACAGACTCGGCGGTGGATGGCTTAAGCAGCATTTCTCCAGTGTCTTCATCTCTAGGCTCTCCTCCTCCTTTTCCCACCCAAGATGCAAATCGTCCTGAAACGTCATGTGCCAAAACTGAGCCTAAATTGATGACGCCTCTGAGTCGCTCAGCTCCTACCAATCTCTACCTCGTCCACACAGATCATGCTTACCAGGTAAAGTTAGAGACAGTAAATTAACCTGTTTAATAGAATTTGGTGATCACACACCTGCTTGAGTTTAACCACCAAACTCCCTTTACATTACAAACGGGGTACTTTTTAATGTGAGAGACAGAGCGTGAGAGACTGCTACAGCTTGGCCCATGCTGGTTCTTTCTTCACAAGTCCAGTGGCTGTCAGAAACCATTCCATTTCTGAGCCATCTGCTGTGAGGTGGGCAGCTTTGCATACATGTGGTTTAGCAGGAGAAATAGAAATAAGGCTATAATATCCCCTGCTCTTTCGGGTAATTCTTTACAAATGGCAAAAAAAACCCAAGCAGATTCCAAGTTTTATTAGAGAACTTTGCAACTTAATTCAAACAGCATGCACTCATTGTAAAAATGTGCTAAAAATGAGCTTTTGAAAACTCTTGATTTTAACATGCTTTGATCTCCTGGGCACCATATAATTTCTAAGAAAAAGATAGCTTTTGAAGAATTGGGATCTATGGCCTACTTATGGACATGAAAAATGAATTCTTACCACATCTAATAAATTTAGAAACTCTTCTCTGAAATAGGATGGGGTAAAAGCACACAAAAACCAGATTTCAATGTGTGATCTGTTTTTCATGGTGTGAATTTGGTACAGCTTTAGCTATATGTTAGGTAGGCTTGGTCAGTGCTTTGGGTTTTCCTTGGAGGTCTCATTAAAGTATTTTTGGAAATAGCGGTGTTGACATCCTTTATCTAAGTGAACACTGGACAAGTGCTCCAACAGGTTCTAGTGGATATACCATCTTCCCTTCAAACAAGCTATTGTTAACCATTTCATGCTGCTAATCTTGCCAATTGTCTTTTGGGTTTCAAACATTGTTTTAAGAAAAACCTATAGCAGAGATTATGATAAGGCAATTCTGGTATCATTGGGAGTTATCAGATTTTCTTGAAAATTTTCAGTGAGGCTTTCAGTAGGGATATAACACAGAGACACTACAGACTGCATGGGCTGATGGCCTCCTATCAATAGATAAGTTTATGTATCAGTATTATTTAAAGGCCCCTACCCCTTTAAACAAGAGTTGAAAGGGCTTGCGCCTCCCGTGGCTCCCACGTATCATGTGAGGAGGAGGTGGGAGCTGAGAGACCCTTCAACTCCTGCTATTTAAAGGGCTTCCTATGCTGCTAGCGCATTGCCTGACAGCCACGGGGAAGGTATGAGCCCTTTAAATAGAAACAGTTGAAAGAGCTCGCAGTTCCTGACCCCGCTGCTAGCAGGTTGCCTGTGAATCAGGGACAGCCTGTGACCAATTTAAAAAAAAAGTTAAGTAGTCCCCCTTCAAAAATTATTGCCCACCCCTGGCTTTAGGTGCATGTCAGTTTAGTAATACTGCAGGGGAAAAAAACTACATGAATGCAAACAAGCAGAATCTGGCAACCCTGCTCATGGTCAATGGTAAACAAATGGCTGCATCTAGACTGGCAAGATTTTGCGCAAAAGCAGCTGCTTTTGTGCAAAATCTTGCCACCTGTCTAGACTGGCCGCAAGTATATGTGCAAGAACACTGACTTTGTACTGTACAAAATCAGTGGTTCTTGCGCAAATACTCCAACACTCCCGCTCAGGGATAAGTCCTCTTGCGCAAGAGGGCCAGTGTCAACAGCCAAGTTAATTTCTTGCGCAAGAAAGTCCGATGGCTAAAATGGCCATCGGAGCTTTCGTGTGCGATAGAGCATCTACACTGGCACGGATGCTCTCTTGCGCAAATACTTTAACAGAAAAACTTTTCCATTAAAAGTATTTGCGCAAAATCATGCCAGTCTAGACGCAGCCAATGTCTTGTGGGCCATACAGAGAACCCTGATGGGCAGGTTGCCCACCACTGTTGTAGTTTGACATCTCTCCAGCTGAACATGACTGTGAATCTAGTGAGGGAAACTCACATATAATGTGAATGGCTGAAAACAAACACAGTATTTAAAATTATATTGGCTGGTAGAAACAAATGAAAAATGGAAGGAAAGCTCCATTAAAATGGTTTAAGTGTAAAACAAGAACCTTGTGGTCATAAAGGTTGAGTCACAAGAGACACAGGAAGTCAGTCTTAAATGCAGCCACTCATTTGCCCTGATAAGCAGAGAGGAACAAGCTTTAAATACTGACAGTAAAATAAGGAGATAAGACGATGCTTTAAGGGACCCAAAGGACCTCAGCAGAGCACACCTTTTAGCCAGGTTCCAATGGCCCAGAGAGGAGGCGGCAGCTTAACAGAAAGGTTATAAAACCTGGATGGAAGGAAAATGAGCAAATTGAGAGGCCAATAGTGTTGTTTTTCAAAATCTTGATTTAGCTTTATTTTTTTGTTCAGTAATTGCCCTCAAATGTTGAGAATTTCAGCCCACAGTTTTACATAGGGAAAGCTGGTTTTAAGCATGTTTGTCTTGTAATTGTAGAGTAGTTGCCTCACGTTGATGATCATTTTTGGTTCCCAAATTTCTCTTCTTCCACTCTTTAATAGTTTCCACTAGACAATAACTTTAGTTTAAAATACTTTAATATGGATTTGCTCCTTGCTGGGCTTTTAATCATTCTAGTTAAAGTTTTTTTTAGTATTGACCAATATGGTGGGGAAGGGAAAACCTACTTGCACATCTGGTGGCTGTGTTGAGGAAATACTTTCGTGATGAAATTATTAAAAAGATATGACAAAATTCCAGCTTCTTAGAGATCTCCTGACCAACTTATTTAATGCTCTAGTAAAGGATCTACATTATAAACAGAATGGCAATGTAATTCCCTTTGTTTCATTGTTGTTAGCAGTATGGTGGGGAAGGGAAAACCTACTTGCACATCTGGTGGCTGTGTTGAGGAAATACTTTCGTGATGAAATTATTAAAAAGATATGACAAAATTCCAGCTTCTTAGAGATCTCCTGACCAACTTATTTAATGCTCTAGTAAAGGATCTACATTATAAACAGAATGGCAATGTAATTCCCTTTGTTTCATTGTTGTTAGCAGCAAGACTTGGTGTTGGACATAAAAGTCTGACTACTGCTATGGAATTATGGTATAGTAAAATATGGACTGTCTTTAATTTTTGGCACAGAAGTCCCCAGGAGTAATTAGAAAAATTGTGCACACACTATTTTAGAATTCTGCATATTTTATTTGTCAAAATAATGTTATAATCATGCCAGTTTTTATTTTGGGTAATTTCAACATATCTGTCAACAAATACGTCTGTAACAATACAGGCAACAACAAAAAAAGATTCAGGAAATATGTTTTGATAAAGAGATTCCTTACTAGAAATACAGAATGGCGTAATAATACATTTAAACTTCAGAGAAACGTGGTTTACACATCCCTCAGAAGCAGTGCTAATGGTTGGAGAAGGGTAATGGAGGAAATGAGAGAGACGGCAGTAACTGCTATGCAAATATAGGTGCCAACTTCCCATCTAGTCAAGGGGTGCTCAATCCATCCTACCCCCCACTTCATACCTTCCCCCCAAGCTCCTGCCCCTCTTCTTCCTCCAAGCACTGCCCTTTCGCACTTCTTCCTGTCCCTTCCAGAAAACTCCCAAATGCCACAAAAGAGCTGTTCACAATGGAAGGGAGCAGGGGTGGGGTTGAAGTTTGCCAGTGGGGCTGCTGGCAGGTGAGAGGCACTGGCACCTGCTAGTTTTACCCTGTAGATCCTCCAACCCCTGAGCAGTCCTGGAGTCAGCAGCTATGGCCAAGGAGGATTCTGAGTGTGAAGCTGGAGGGTAGCTGGATGTAGGTGGGTGAAGTATGGAACTGGATGTTTTTTGTTTGGGTTTTCTTTGAGCAAAGTAGATTTGAGGAGCGGAGAGATTGTTAGAGAGTTGAGGTGCGTCCCCTGCTCCAAAGCCACACTGGCTGACCCCTAGCCTTTTCTCATTCATTCAAACACATCTGCATGTCCCTCTTCCCCCACACACACACTTTCTGCCATCCAGTCCCCATGTGGCCCTGCCATCTCTCTCTCTCTCTCTCTCTCTCTCTCTCTCTCTCACACACACACACACACACACACACACACACACTCGTCAGCCCTCACTCCAGTCTGTCCCCCACTAGCCTTTCTGGATTATGTGCCCCCCCTAGCAGGCAGGAGTGCCCCCTATGGTCTGGTCTCCCTGTATCCCATGTTTGCTCACCTGGCCCCTCCTCTGCCTCCCTATCAGCTGCTGACTTCTGCATCCAGTGGGCAGTGAATCAGCTGCCTCTGCTCAGGCACCATAGCAGCCTCTGGTGGGTGAAAGGTGTAACAACAGAGTCTCTGCATTTTCTGAGAAGGAAAAAAAAAAAGGCTGCAGGGCACATGAATTCCCCCAGAGAGCAGTGTCATGGAAAAGTTTTCACACCAATTACATAGAGACCTGCCAAAAAGAAGATAAGTACTTAGCAATGTGGTCACCAGTTTATGTAATCAGTGCAGCAAGCCAGGATTTTTTGCCTGAATATTAAACTGGTCCTAAACAAGTGATGTCACAATGAAATGTTAACATACTTCATTGTACTTTACCACAATGAAAAGTTTCAAAAGAAAAAAAATGTATGTGGATTTCTGAGCTCCTGCCTAGTATCTTTCGATACTTAGCTTTTTAAGGTTTCTTACAGAAGCCATTTCTTGGAAGAGCTATTATTTTTTTCTGCCCAATTAAATAATGACTACATATAAAGATCTTGTTCTTTCTTTGTTGCCCTATTCATGTTTATCCCCACTAGGGATTTGAAAATATAACCACTTACACGGTTAACTGATGAGCCTGAACTCATCGGTTAATGTGCATGGTTTCATGTCTCCCCTACCCACTGTGCTACTGCCTCTGTATCAAAAGCAGCAGGGGGGGAGGGCAGGTGGGAGCTGGGGCAGGCAGAAGCCAGTGCATACAGGAAGCCAGGTGGCAGCAGGTTGGGGCACGCAGCTCTGCAGAAGCCAGTGTGCATGTAGAGCCAGCTTAAAAGCCAGCTTCCTGCACCATGTAGAAACCCCCACCCATACACTCACAGCTGCCTCTGTATTAGCAGCATGGGTGGCAGGTGAGAGTCACCTGCCTTCCATGTGTAACCCCTGAAACTTTCAGTGATTACACAATTACATAATTAAATGCATTTTACCATCCCTAATCCCCAGAGAACAAGGGTAGAATGCTTACACAGCCACCATTGTAGAAATATTTTGAAAACCTGCTTAATTTGCAGTTTAAGAGCGAACGATCATGTTGCAATGCTTTGGAAGATGAACACTTTTTTTTAATTGGATTTTTTTTAAACAGGCTACTCCTCCAGTGAACATTCCAGGGTCAACAAAGTTCACTCCCAACGGCCGTAGCTTTAGCATCTCTTGGCAGTCACCTTCAGTTACCTTTACAGGCACTCCGGTAAGTGGAAGATGAACAAAGAAGGTACCTAAGTAATGGAAAATGTTAAAACTTACCAATAATGTGCTTACGATTGACATTAAATGAGAAAGAGATACAGATACAATCCTCCAGGTCCCAATTGTCCTCTTACACCAATGCTATACTGCTTTATAAGCCCGTTGATTTACATGCAGTTATTCTGTAGTATATTTTTTAAACTATCTGCTTACAAAGGAATGAAATGGGTAGCTTCATCAGTCTATAAAATCTTCTGCATTTGCCAGTGCATGTCTCTGTTTCTAAAGGAGTATTTATAAAACTAGAGGAAACCAGCAATTTGATCATTCTGTTAGAAGGCTTATTAGAAAGGTACTTAAGTTTGAAAACTACTGCTATAAAATATTTTTTCTTGTGATTCATTTGAAAATTGATGCCTATGATCCAACATAATGATATATTTTGACTAGAGGGTAGGCTCCGGGGTGCGGCCAGGGATGAGGTGTTTAGGGTGCAGAAGTTGTTCCAGGCTGGGAGGTGGGGCAGATGAGCAGTTAGGGAGCTCTGGGGTGGGGCTCTGAGTCTGGGGCTCATTCAGGGCTGGGGCACTGAGTTACTTCTCAGGGTTTGGGCATGGGCTTACTTTTGGTGGTTCCTGATCTGCAGAGCCATGAAGGGGATACTAAGGCAATGCAGACCAAACTGCACCCCGGAAGTGGCCAGCAGCAGGTCTGGCTCCTAGTTGGCAACGTGCTCCACCCCAGAAGTGGCCACATGGTCTGCCTCTGCATTCTGCTCTCACCTGCAAGCACCAGGATGGGGGCAGCACACAGAGCCCCATCATCCCCTCCCTTTCCCCACCTAGGAACCTGACCTGCTGCTGTACGCTTCTGGGTACAATGTGATTTGCAGTGCCAAAACAGGTAGGAAGCCTGTCTTAGCACCCCAGCGACTCACTGGGTCACCCTACAACTAAGCGACACAATGCCTCCCATTCCATGACCCAGTACAGGGTTGCAACCCATAGAGTCTTTAACCAGTGATTTTCAAACTAACAGAGGTGATGTCCAATAAAACACTGCAAATCATGTACAAATGAAAGAAAAAAAATTACCTAACAAAACTGAATAAGGAATTCTTAAGCCCTGGTTCTAGCCCCAGATACATGCGGGCAACTTCTGTTGATTTCACAAAGGTAGGTTTTGTCTTTATATGAAACACAAACTTGGTATGTATTGAAATTACTTGTTAATGATGCAGTATTAGATGAAGCTCAACTTTGACAAGGATTGTAAAATACTCACAGGGACTTGTGGTAAGTTGATGAAAGTAAATGGAAATTTTGCATGAATAAGGATGGTTGAATCAGGCTTTTAGCTTAATTACAGAGAAACTTTTCTCAATCCCATTGAAAGAAAATAAAATCAAAGAAGGATCTAGAGAGGTAACTAGATAATACTAGGTGACAGGTACATAACGTGCATCAAAAAATTAAATCAAAATCACTAAGTTTAAGCTGCAGAAAATCTACTAGTGAATAAATAGAGGGCAGTGTATTCTCATTTTAATTATTAAAAAATGTTAAACAGGTTTCTGATCAGATAAGTCATTTACATGTTGGATATCAAAACATTTCATTTCAAATTACAAATTCAGAATTGTCACAGTTTATCACATAATGCACACTAGTTACCCAGAGAACCACATAGGGTTGTTTTTCTTTGACAATGTATATTAGACTCGGTGATAACAGATACGGCCTCCCTCTCCTCTCTTCACTAAATGACACAAAAGCCTCTTACTCTCAACCTCTGGCAAATCTTGGAGATTTTCTCCAGAGGCTGTGGTCTCCTGCAGAGCTGATAAAAATGAAAGTGGCTGAATCAATTACACTGCACTCTGCCAATGAATATTTATTAAATTCCATCAAGGAACAGCTAACAGTGAAAGACATCACGCTGGCAGCAATTTGAACAAGAGTGCCTCGGCAGCAGAGCATGCCATGGGTAAAGTATTCTTGGAATTTGATTTCATAACCGTTCAGTTGATAGAGTAATTATTAAACTAGCTCCTTTTGTGGAGTAGCAGAAATTGGTGCCAGTAGTATTGGGAATCCAATAAAGCAATTAGCAACATGGTAAATAAGAGGCTGAAAGGGAAGGGATTAAATATGCAGGTATTTAGTTGACTTCAAGCAATAATGATCTTTCAGCTAGTGAGTGAGAGTTCCCAACAGAATTTAAGAAACAAACAGCTTTCTGGGAGATTATAAGATGATGCTAGTGATTTACAGTTTAATTTAAAACTATCTCGTGAAAACCTAGAACAACAGTGTTGATAGTACAATTATAGGTCATTCAGGGCGCCATGAAGTCTTTTTATCCCTTTCTCCTGGAAATCTTTCAAGTGGGGAGAGGGAGGAGCCCACCAAATCACCCACATATCATCCCTGCTTGGCCATATTTTTCTGTTTTATCACTCTCTAGGCATAAATGTATAGTTAGATGAAGTGGGCACTAATATTTTAAAGATGTATATGAAGGCTGTTTTCTTCCTCTTTTTCCATCTGAGGGAAACAAGCTACTGCTTTTTAAAAAGGGTACTCCAAGCAGTGTTCAGTATAGACCATCATTCTTTATTGTATTGTTAATAATTACTAACATTTAGCAGAGTATAGTTCACATCCTCAGAGGACTTTGCACACGGTGTTTTGGCCAGGTCTTGACTAACGGATATTAGAGAGTTCAGCCCAGATCCTGACACACATATCTGGCTCTTCAGCAGGGCAACCCTGCTCCAACTGCTGCTTCTGTGACCACTGGTGGTCAGTATATGCAGAGTTGACTGAACCTTAATGCTGCCTTCATAGCTTGTACTAAAGCTCCATGGATGGGATTCTTGGTGGGGGACCCCTATCTCACCAATCCTGTTGACAAGCTTAGTGCATACCAAGAGCTAATGGCTTCAGATCCTGTTGGGGCAGACCAGCCATAGGTGGTGGGACAGAACAGTGCCCACACAAGAGCACAGGGCAAGGTAAGAGGAACATGAAAGGGGTTGCATGTTGCCTACGTGTCTGAGCTGGCTTTAGGTGGCTAGCTGCAAGAGAGGGTTTGTGGCTGAGGATCCTGAGTGCAGGAAGGCTCTTGCCTATCAGCCAGGCACCCCTCAGCATTTCACTCCTGGCTAGCTTAGGCAGCTCTGTGGTTTCTGAAAGTCATTTCTAGTTTGCCAGGCTCCCCATACACTGTATGGCAAAGTTAGGCATCTAACTCAGGGCTGATAATTCCATTGAGTGATAGGCTGCTCCCTTACTGAGCTGAGCAACACCTATGTATGTTTATGGACCTTCCTCCTATCACAACACCCTGCATTCCTCCTAATCCACCTCTTGAAGTAATGCAGGACATCTTACAGAAAGCTGATCAACATGGGCAACACAGCGCTTACATGTCAGTTCTACACATATATGCCCCTTTCTGCTCTAGCCAGCGGATGTTCAATTCCCCCCCCCCCCCCCGCCCACCTCCAGCCCTTCTCCCACCTCTTCCCAAATGACCCAAAGCAGAGAGAACAGACACATATTCTCTCTCATCATCTGAGTCAAGTATCACCAGCAAAAGGTTCACTTTCTTTTTGGGTGGTTCAAATTCTATAGTTTTTGATCAGGGTTTTGCTCTTTTAAAACTTCTGAAAGCATCCTCCACATCTTGTGTCTTACAGATTGTGAAAGGCACTTTGATTTTGAACCTTGGGTTGAATATTGTAGCTATCTTTAGAAATCTCACATTGATGCCATCAGGGCTGTTCCCCATTCTGGCACTCCAAATGCAAAATGTAGAGCCCCACAAGAGACCTTATATGCCTTGCCTCTTCACCATTCAAATTTCAGCACTGTATTCCTTTGGTTCTTCTGGCTCCCTGCCAACAGTCCCTAACTATCGGAGTACAGGCAGTCCCCGACTTACGTCGGATCCCTAGATACGAACGGGGTGAGGCAACTCCCGCACATGCGCAGCAGCATTCCCGGGGCTCGCTCACCTGGGTCCTAGGATCCTCCTCCTCCTCGGGCCGGCTCCGACTGGGGTCCCGCAGAGCTGCCGGGCAGAGGAAAAGTGCCTCCCCACGCCCGCTGCCCC